TGCACCGCGTTTTCCGCAACAATCTTTCGATGTGCCTCCTTGCTTTCCCCCAGTTCTCTCAGCCTCGAAGCATGATCTTGATGATTGGTATGACTGGTTCTGGGGCCCGGACATCGCGGGACGAACCCCAGCTCCGTCGGAAAAGACTCTCCTCTATGCTGAACGAAACGCATGGAGAGCCATCCACAACCTGGTCTATGAGGGCAAGTCGCTCAAGGAGGCCATGATGGAAGTCCGTGCGGATGCCCTCTTTTGGACGAGGGAAGTCTACGAGCGTGTGCCTCGGCCCGGTGAGAAGGGTCCGAAGGGCACTCCGAAAGGTGAGAAAGGCACCCCCTTCGCCAAGGGTCCGGGCAAGGGCCCATGGAAAGGCAAGCAAGCCTGGTCGGTGTACCAGCCCTTTCTCAAGCAATCTACCAAGGGCAAAGAAGGCAAGAAGGGCACTCCCAAGGGCAAGGGCAAGGATTCCTGGCCCCAGAATTGGTCCAGGAATAATCCGAAGGGCACCCCCTTTTGCAGGGATTACCACATCAAGAAGCAGTGTCCCGGCAACTGTGGACGCTCCCACAACTGTCCTGTCACCAAGGATGGTTGGGTGTGCAATGCCCCTCCGAATGAGCACAGTCCGGACAACTGTCCTTACAAGTGAGGGCCTCCAGTCCCAGGTGCCTTCGGCCCTGAACGAGGAGAAGTGTCGGAGTCGGTGACACACGTCGCCCCCTCCACATTAGGTGCCCATGGCCCTGAACGAGAACAAGCACGGGACAGATCGCGATCCCCCCGTGGGAAGCCTGTCTCCACGCCAGGTGGGGACACCACGCATGCGGGCCTGCAGCCCTCCAGTAGTGCTCTCTCGGATGACAAGCCCTTCTCTCTCGGGCCTTGGATTGAGAAACATTACCCGGGCTCTCTGCCTGCAAATTGTTCTCCTGAATGGCTTAATGGAGTCCCTGACCGCCTGGTCCGGAGACTCCAGTGGTCTTCCGAGTGCACTGCCAGCATTCCTCAGGGTGCCATCATCTTGCCATTCGCGGGTCGGGAGGATGCCTCATCTCTGGAAGCGATCCTCCATGCTCAAGCCCCCGAACTCTCCTCGAGAGTTCTGGCATTTGATTCCTCTAGGAAACCCTCTGGTAAGGACCTCCTTAATGACACCCTGTTTGGGTCTCTCTGTGCTTCGGCGCTGCAAGGAAACATCTCCTTTGTGGGTGGATGTCCGGATCTCAAAACCTGGGGTTTGGATAGATGGTTTCAGGACTCGGGTACTTTCCATGCAGTTAGGGCCCGCTCTGCAGAGAATGCCTGGGGCATAGCCGCTCTTCCTGAGGCGACACTTCACTCGGCTCTGCGGACGAGGAAAGCACCCTGCTCCTTAGGTTCCTTCTGCTTGTATGGCTCGCCTACCTTGCCCAGTGCTGCTCCTAAGGTCTTCTGCTTCCTGGAGATGGCTGAGGATCCAGCTCGAGGAGCCATTTCTCCATCCAAGAGACGCTCCTCTTCGGCCTGGGCCACTCCGGCCCTGCGTGCTTGGACCTTAGATCTAGGCCTTGAGGTTCTGCACTTCGACCTTTGTTCCTTTGGTTGGGTTGTTAGTCGTCCCTCTAGAGCTGTCACGAACCTTCCGCTCCAATCCTGGGAGGGTAGGACCTGCACACACACTCATCACCTCAAACCGGATCGTCCCGTGCCTGGGGACGCCCGGCGACCTGAAGCCATGCTACAGAGTATCGCATCGGCGTTGGCCGGAAGTCTCCGCGACACAGGCGCTTCAGTGAAGGATTCGCCATCAGGTCCAGCCTCCAAACGCGTTGCAGATCCCTCGCTGGGACAGGAGCGTCCTCACGGGGCGGCTCAAGGGTCAGCACCCTTCCGGGCGGCTGTTCAACCCTCCCTACCCTCGCTGGGAGGGAAGCGTCAGGATGCTGGGTCTCCGGGTGCAGGTACGCTGCGACCCCAATGGTCGGGTGTGATCGGCCTTCGACGCTGCCGCTCTTTGAGAAGCTTACCCTAGACGATGCCACAATGCGGGTGGCCCATGGCTTTAAGGTTAGGCCCCTAAGGGACGGAGGAGGCAAGACCTCTCCTGGTAGGACCCCTCCACACCTGCGCAGAGGACCCACAGCTCCTGCTCTGGGTAAGTTCATTCGAGAAAAGGCGGGGCCCCTGGTCCCCTCTTTTCTAGCCTCCACGGCCGCGGGTGCCAAGCAACACCCTTTCCCAGAGTCAGTTCTCAAGGAAATTCGTGATTTCATCATGCCCCAGCATTCCCAACCGGATGCAGGACAGCCCTTTCACTTGGACGTGTTCAGGAAACTCCTGTGTGACATCCTAGATGTCGATGCTGAGTACCCGCTGATACTCAAAGAAGGAGTTCCTCTGGGAGTGGATACCCCTACTTTTTTAATTTTCCGGGCGTTTGGCCTTTGAAATCCGAGCTCATTGGCGAAGAGTGGGACTCGGGGGAAGCACCACCCCCCACTGGCCACGCGAACTACTCCTCCGCTGACACCTTTAGGGAGGAGATTCGGGCTACCTTCGTAGAAGAAACTCCACTGGGCATGGTCATTGGACCATGCACACGCGCGGAAGCAGCAGCGCACTGCCAGTGTGCAGAGGAAGAGCTCTGCCCCTGCCCCATGGCGGGAATTGATGAGTCGGATAAGATCCGTTCCATCTTTGATGGGTCCAAGGGAGGTGCTAATCTCCGCATACAGCAGAATACAGTAGAGAAAACCACGGCTCCCACTGTCATGGACTGCGCCTACACTGGCTCCGGGCATCAGTCACGTTCTCCTGGGAAGCCAGGTGCCTATGGCCCTGATCCTGGGGAGCAGGAGACCTCGGTTGCCTCGGGGTCTCGTGAAACCGCCCCTGTTGCGGTAAACTGGGAACAGGACGATCCTTCTGAGAAGGAAGACTCCAGCGCCGGCTCCGGCCGACCCTGGAGCTTCCCGGGCTCCGACGATGATTGGATCTTGCTCAAGGCTGATGTGACTAAGGCGCACAGGAGAATCAAGATTCTCCTACGAGAGTGGCGTTACCAAGTTGCCCAGCTTGGTGAGGAATGGTGGGTCAACACCGTAGGCACCTATGGAATGGCCAGTGCCCAGCTCTACTGGGGAAGGATGGCTGCCATCCTTCTTAGGATTGTGTATGCCGTGTTTCCCGAGGTCGACTGGGGTTTTGTTTTTGTCGACGACTTTGCCTGGCTACTCCGTAAATCGAATTCCCCTCTGCTGGCAACAGCGATTTGCTTGCTGCTGCTTGCTCTCGGCACTCCTCTGAGCTGGAAGAAAACCCTGCTTGCTGAGGTCAATACTTGGCTTGGCTTTGTCATTGACCCAAAAGGATCCTGTGTGCAGATGGCCCGAGACAAGCACCTGCTTGTCATCGGCATTCTTGAAGAGCTTAAAAGCGGTAAAGTCATGTCGGCTTCTCAGATCGCTAGCGCTTTGGGTAGGCTGCAGTGGGCGACAACGGCCTGCCCCCTCACCAAGCCTTTCCTCCAACCCTTTTGGGCTTGGAAGAAGGCCTGCCTGACTGCAGGACGTCCGGGTAAGCTTATCCGTGCACTCTCAGCTCTGCTCCTCTCTCTTTTTGACCAGAAGTTCAGACAAGCATCGCCGTATGCCCCGCTTGCCATTTGGTCGGGGGCAAGTGATGCTAGCGCCTCAGATGATGGCAGCGCCTATGTGGGCGGCTGGCTTTCCAACGTGGACTCCCGGTCTAAGTCGGAAGTCTTCTGGTTCCACTACCAGGTCACTGCAGAGCGGCATCCATGGGCCTTTGACAAGGGCTGCCCGAAAAAGCGCATTGCTGCCCTCGAGATGTTTGGCACCCTAATCCTTTCTCACTTTCTCATGGAAAAGGCACCGGCGTTCATCCCGAACCTCAGGCTCCCCCTGGTCAGCGACAACCAAGGGAATGTTTACTCGCTCCTGAACGATAAGTCCAAGAGGATGCCAACGTCGGTCATCCTCATGGAGGTACTGTACCAGCTGCACCGGCATGGTATGCAGCTCGCTCCCTCCCACGTCAAGCGTGACTTCAACACGTGGGCTGATGATCTGACTCATCCCAACTTTCAAGGTTTCACTCCATCTCTCTGCTTGCCGGTGGAACCCGTGCTCAAGCATTTTTCCCTCATCCGCTCTATCCTGGAAGATCGTATTTTCGACGATCCTTCTGACCTCACCCATGGGCCCGCGCAGGGCGCCCGGTGAGGATGTGGCTGCCTCCTGTACAGGCTTCTTTCTGGACGGCACAAAATTTTGGGACTCTTTTCTGTACAAGGAGGGTTCCCGATCCCCAGGTGCCGTAGGCCCTGAGGGAGGGGACCCTCCTCTGTTTCGAAACGGCCTCTTTCTAGGCTGAGGTCTTCGACCGAAGGAACATCCCGGGAGTCGGCAGCCACACCAATCCACCATGCAAAAGAGGGCTTGCGAGCATGGTGCTTTTGGTGTGCCATTTTCATGCGGATTTCTGACATTCAACAATGAGATTTTGTACCTTGCGCTGTTGTTGAACTGCAACTCCACAGCACAGCTTGAAGAAAACACAAGATGCGACAACCTATGCAAATGCACGTTCCGCTGGCAAAGGTCTTTAAGCGCACGACCAGTTCCAGCTATCCCAACCTTTTCTCGCCGGATTGCAGAGTCGACAGACGCACCAGATGTAAATTCCGCATGCAGTGCTTGCGCCACCGTCCTTTGAGAGCTTGCATGAATCCACGGAAGGGACTCTGTCCGGAGGCTGCAACCTTTCCAATCGTAATCGCTCAGACTGCATCATCAGCACCGTCCGATGTCATCGACGACCACTGCTACTAATTACTGCTGCTGCTGCTGCTGCTGCCGCTACTGCTGATACTACTGCTGCCGCTGCTACTGCCACTACTTCTTCCACTTCTGCAATAACAACAACGTCATGTGGCAGCGCACGTACGGCCGCGGTGCAATGACTGCATGTCTAGGCCCTAGGATACGCAGATGGCTCAGGCACTCTCGCGTGGGATCGTGGAAGCTGCTGAAGTTGACATCCAGGGGGAGAGCCAAAGGTTGGCAGAGGCCAGCTGGCTTCAGAGAGTTTTGGGGACTTGGCGTGCTTTTGGTCAATCAACGGTAAGGATCAGTATCCTGGCAAAGGAGTCTTGGGACGGCCGGAGTAAGTCTGGAGATGGGGATGGGGGTGCGAGAGACAGGATGCTTATTAGCACAGGGTTGAAGATGGACAGCATTCAGCCGCACCTCACAGCCGCATGCGACGTCCATTGTTGGGATCTAACACGTCTCCATAAGGCAAAGCAGCCGAGAAGCTTGTTCACATCCTTGCGAAGCCCGACAGGATTCGCAGACCGACATCTTTTTGCATTTGCATTGCCTAGCCGAAAAAAGCACACCCAATCGAACATGCCAACATGCGCAGGGCCACCTTTAAGCACCCTGTCACGACAGGTCTGAACCCTTACCCCGTAGTTCCAGCCCAGAGGCTGCCAGCTCCCGAGTACGACCTTTCGGCTCCCTGGCCTCAGCGGAGCGCAGCTACTTGCTCTTCGCAACTGGGGTGCATCTGGTTAATCTAGAGCGGCGGAAAGCCTGTGCGCTAAGCAGTTCTGCTTTCAGGGGTAAAACATTTAGTTGAATTTGGAGGCTCTTTGTTCTTTCTGTTTCTCTCTAGGGTTTTGTGTACTCAAAGATAGGAGCTGCAACTTCTAGCGAGGTGATGCTCGGGAGCATGACACGAAGCATGGAGGGATCACTGTTGACGCTTTGAGGCTACAGTGCTTATCCCTCCCAGGTGGTGATCGCTTTCGGGGCTCCGCCGCAAGCACTCGATGCTCTTCAGAGCCTCGGTCCAGGCGTTGACTCCTGCGTTTCGCCGACGGTATGCTGGCTGCCGAAGTGGCATTTCCGGTCGAATGATCGAATGTCTCTGATGCTGCGTTGCACGCAGCAACCTGGACCAGCATGTCAATACCAGTTGCAGTGGTGGTAACTCGTGGTTCAGCGTCGGATCCTCCACGAAACGGTGCAGGCATGAAGCAACTAGCCAGGTTGACGCATCAAGCAGTTTGCGTCACGCGCCTTTGCGGAGTACAATAGGCAGAACTTCGTCGTATGGTTTCAGCTTCCATGCCCTAGCAAGGAGCGTCTTGCTTCTGGAGCTGTCGACGCTGATGCAAGGAGCTGTGGGGAACGCAGCGTGTTGTAGTGTCTTGTAGTATACTTGTAGAAACAAGGGAAGTCCTCGAACGAGTGGAGTAATCGCACAGCCAGCATTTTTGGCGAATGCACGTAGCGACTAGAGTACACTGACAATCTGGAACCGGAACCCTGTGGCGACTTGGCGTTGTCAGCCCCGAAAGGGACGTCTCATGTCGAAAGATAGCACGCGCTGCCTTGCGATTCCGTGTACAAGTAGGAAAGGAGTTGCCTCATGTAAGAGCCGACGAACTCGACAGCCTAGAGGTGCGGTGGGCATGCAACAACGATCACATGGTATCGGCTGGAAGACCGTCCGGCCGAAGCACAAACTCGGGAGCAAGAGCTGCGCAACCCACTACGCGGTCTATCCTGGAAAGTGAAGTGTTATTGTCATTCTTAATGGCGACGTGATTGCCGTGCTTTGATTTTATTCGCATGTCCAGTAGCCGCTCTAATCTTGCGTTGTGTCCGAACCGTGGATGCATCATCTGGTTAATTCCGAGAGTGAGAGCGTAAACCTCCCTCAAACAAGCCTAAGTTCAAAGCATGCGGGTGCATCCACAGCAGGTGCCCTGGTCGGCCTGGCATCGCTACTGGTGTTGGTGGGATCCTGATGTTGTCCCCAAACTGGCCGGGAAGTTTCAGGATTAAGTGGGAAGACAGTTCATCCACAAACTTGTCCATCCCACTCTGGTTGACGATGGCTTCCGATGCAAGAGATATCTGTGTGTCTCTGGGAGAGGTTATCAACATGTCATGACTCATGCCAGGGCGATGTTAACTAGCAACATCACATCAGCAGGCTCTTTGAGCTAGTCATTTTCTAGATAGAGTACGTCTGGCATGTGCAGCTACTACACGTCAACCGGTTCAGAAATCAGGTGAGCTTGGGATTGAAGATCAAAAGCCTCCCTCCGAGTGTTCCAAATGAGGCACGTCGCATGGAGTACCGATGCATTAGGAGTTGTGTGTTCTCGGGCTTGAAGACTTGTGCTGCAGGTCGAATGCCCATGCAAAGCTTGAGGGCAGTCACGGGCCAGACCCACAAAAAGCAATCGCCTGCAGGGCGCCGCTGAGGCACCGAAAGTCGCTGAAGGCAACACCCGTTCAGACCAGCTGGCAAGGGTGGCTTCTGGGATGGGATGCCTTTGTTGATTACTTCCAGCCGCAGCGGATGAACCTGTGCTCAGCGGTGAAAGTTGAAAGGAAGTCAGCCCCAAGCAGTACCTTCAGATTCTACGAGGAGGAGGACCCACCAACAAACACTTAGACTTAAATTTTAAGCGATGCACGAAAGGAAACGGGCGGTGTGCGTGGCAAAAACTTGTCCGGTCGGTGTGAAGGGTTTGCAGCGGTGGAAATCGAAACTAAACTTGACCAGACTTGCCCGCCAGGTAATAAACTCGAAGCTGTCAAGCCCAGCAGAAGGCCCTAATCCCCAACACCCTCCTGAAGAACCGCCAGGTTTGCCAGTGCTAGCCTCGCTCGGGTGCTAAAGTCGCATATGCATCTTTTTGAGCCCTCCTCGCCATGTACGAACAGCAAACATAGAATTCACGAAAGGTGGTCGCAAGTGGTCGAATACTAGCTCTTACACCTTCCTGTTTAGTTCAGTCAGTTTTTTTTGCCATGTTTGGATCAGAAGCGATGATGGTCGTCGTCGTGGTGGTGGGTTTGTTGTTGGAGGTGGGGATGATTTAAGCAGAAGTCATGGCAGCAGTTGCTGTTTGCAATACCATATAATTGGTAGTATTGAGCGCAAGCTGTGTCGTACTGGAAAGCAGAAGTAGTCCCAGAAGTAATCGTGGGGTCAAGATCAACTCGACAGGATAACGACACAAGTTCTGACGATGTTAGCAAGCTCCCTCCCATCAATGATAACGAAGCTAACGATCACGAGAAAGAGAGACTGGCGATCACGAGAAAGAGAGACTGGCATTGTGTCCGTGGGCAGATGTGATAAACGTGCCGCTAGCATCCGCTAGCAGCAATGCTTGACGGGTTGGACGGTTGGTTAGACCACAAGTCTCCGGGTTTCGGAGGCTCACACCGCTGGCAGCGCTTCCGGCTCGGTTGGTTGCTCCCATTGTGACTCGGTTTCATGTGATAGGGATAGGAAGCTACTGTAGGGGTAGTAGTAGTCGTCGTCGCAGTAGTAGTCGTGGTTGTGGTAGTTTCAGTGGTTTTAGTGGTGGTGGTGGTAGTAATAATAATAGTAATAGCAGTAGCAGTAGCAGTAGCAGCAGCAGCAGCAGTAGAAGTAGCAGTAGCAGTAGCAGTAGCAGTAGCAGTAGCAGTAGCAGTAGCAGTAGCAGTAGGAGTAGGAGTAGGAGTAGGAGTAGGAGTAGGAGTAGGAGTAGGAGTAGGAGTAGGAATAGGAGTAGTAGTAGAAGAAGAAGAAGAAGTAGTAGTAGTGTTAGTGGTAGTAGTAGTGTTAGTTTTAGTGCCAATCGTGGAAACAGTGGTGGTAGTGGTAGTAGTAGTGGTGGTAACAGTAGTCGGGCTCAATCAATCACTCAACCAACCAACCGATCAATCAATATTGCTACGCACTATTTGCTGCCTACGCTTCGTGGTTGCTGTACTGACTTACTACTTACTGCTGTACTCCTGACTACTTACTACCTACTACTCAAGGCCTGCCACTTACTACTTCTCACTTACCACGCACTACTTATTACTGGCTATTGATTGCTTACTACTATCGCATATTTACCACTTGCTACTTGCTACCAGCACTTACTGCCTGCTACTTGCTACTTGCTACCTGCTGCCACCACCACCACCACCACCACCGCCACCTAGTACCACCGCTGGTAGTACCAGTACTATTAGTAGTAGTAGTAGTAGTAGTAGTAGTTGTAGTTGTAGTAGTAGTAGTACTACTTCTACTACTACTACTACTACTACTACGACTCCTGCTGCTACTACTACTACTACGACGACGACTACTACGATTCCATTTTGCCGGGAAACAAGGGCCGCTGCTTGGGACCAAGGTTTTGCTAATCTTGCAAATCTTGAAATCAAGGGGAGCAAGTGGTGCACGTGGTGCAAGGCGAGACGGGCAAGATTAGCCAGATTGGTTCCACATTCCACCTCCAACTGGTTGGCAAGCTTGCACGCCAATCTTGCACCCCCAAGGTCGCAAGATTACCCCTACTCCTACTCCTACTGCTACTGCTGCTGCATGTGCTACTACGACTACGACCACTAATAGTAATAATAAGAATATTGATACTAACATTGCTCATACTGCTCTCCGCTGATTGTTGTGGTGCTACACAATGTCGAACATTTACTGCCACTGCTGCTTGTCCTTCCAAGTATCTTCAGTGCGGTCGTCGCTGGGGTCCTTCCGTTCGCTACCGCTGCTGCTTGTCTGTAACAGCAGCATGTGATGACTTATGTTTCGCTTGTGAGGCTTGGGGTGGTGCTGCTGCTATCAGCCGGCGTGTCCCTCGCAGTTCACCGGCAGCAATTCAAGTCTTTAGTTTCGCGGGTGGAAGTTTGAAGATGCCTCTGCTTCAGAAACCCCCATAGTCCACAAGGTAACTTCACTTAATGGCTCCCTGAAGCCCCTGTCTTGCCTGAATGCGAAATCGCCCGCCAAACAAGAGAGATGTGTGTGTCGGACCGGAACTGAACTCAGCAGAAAACGCTAGAGTCGGAATTGTTAACCGAGAAGACTCTGGCGTGCATGCGGTTTAAGGCCCACGATCAAGGTTCTTCTTCCGTTGGAAAGTCAAGGCTGCTAGATGCTTCAAGATGATTCGAGGTTGTGGGTCAACTCTGGAAGCATTGTGCCCATGCTGTTTCTGAGGCTCAAGCCTTCGTGTAGTCATGCTATCTGTGGTAATCGTGCAGAGAGAGAATTTTCCCGGACCAGCCGCTGATTGACATATCGCAAGATGCTGAGACTGGTGAGAGTCAGTCACACCACGAACAGGCTTGCACTGTCAGCAGCTTCGCCAACACAGGCGCAGCATATCTTGTCATATTTGTAAGATGTGCAACAGGAGCTACTTGCTACTTCGTACTTCTTACTTCTCGCCCCTGACTTGCTGCTAACTACATACTACTCACAACAACAACGGCTGCTGCTACTACTACTACTACTACTACAACTACCACTAGTACTACTGCTACGTTCTTCTTCTGCTTCTTCTACTACTACTGCTACTACAACGACTACTACTACCGCGACGACGGCTACTAAGCTTCCTACTACGGTTACGGCTACGGCATGCTACGGCTACATCTACGGCGACTGTTGCTGCTGCTGTTCTTGTTACTGCTACTGCTACCGCTACTGCTACTGCTATTGCCGCTGCTACTGCTGCTGTCACTGCTACTGCTGTCTCGCTCGCTAGCTGGCCTGCTTCCTTGCTACCACTACGACGGCTGCTACTGCTACTACTGTTGCCACTGCTATTATGACCACTACTGCTGCTACTACTACCACCACTCCACAAACTGCTACTACTGCTGCTGCTGCTGCCGCTGCCACTGCTACTGGTGCTGGCACAGCTACTACTACTACTACTACCACCACTACTACAACAACAAAAACAACAACAACTACTACTATTACCACTGGTACTACCACTACCACTACTACTACTACTACTACAACTACTACTACTACTACTACTACTACTCCTGCTGCTACTACTACTACTACTACTACCACTGCGACGACGACGACGACTACTAATACCACTACTACTGCTACTACTACTGCTGTTGCGCTCTTTGTGATGAGTCGGCTCTGTTGTGACTTGTTGACATTTTAGTCCCCGCGGAGCTGTCAGAGGCGTGCCAGGTGGGTGACAAAAACTACTACTACTACTACTACTACTACTACTACTACTACTAGTACTACTACTACTACTACTACTACTACTACTACTACTACTACTACTACTACTACTGCTACTGCTACTGCTACTCCTACTCCTACTCCTACTCCTACTCCTACTACTACTCCTACTGCTACTACTGCTACGACTAACACAAGAAGCACTGCTACAACAGCTACAGCAGCTGCAACCAGAACTACAGCTACGACTACACCTGCTCACCTTCACCATCACCTTTATTCCCGCCACTACTACCACGGTTCCTCCTGCTACTGAAAATGCTAGCAGCAGTAAGAGAAGTCATCACTAGCACCATCCGTGCCACAGCCGAATGGGCCGAATGTCTGGCACTGTGACGACGGAGCAGAAGCCAGGTCGGCGAGTCAGGCTTTGGCGTGCTCCTGGACTTGACGAGTTGAAGGTTGAGGGTCGGTACAGATAATACGGATGGTGCCTACTCAGCCTTGCGCATCTCGCCACGAGTGCGGTGTGCTGCAGGGAAGAGCTCCAATCAAGCCTGTGTAAAAGAGGGCATGTCCAGATCTTAGGGCATTGGGAGCGGTTCATGTCGGTCGTCTTTGATTGCTGCTTCTATTCATTGCGTAATTATCATATTTCTTGTATTGTGTGTTGATTCATCGGCTTCCAACTTGCATTTGTTAAAAGGACGTGTGATGGCGGTTTCTAACGGACGTGCGATGGTGCTTTCCAACCTTTACCTTTTGTGGTTAGCGTAATGTCATTTTTTCACATGGTCTTGTCTCTTTGGTCAGGTGCTGACACAGGCGAACTCAGGGCGGTTGCTGCTGGGCCGATCATGAAAGGTTTTGCAGGGCCAGGTTGTCAAAAAGAAAAGTGCAGTGATCACAGGAACAGAAACGATGGACGTGATGTTCGTAAGATAAAGTAGCACTGTAACACTGCGATGGCCCCTGGCAGGGTTAGGGCGCTTGCGAAAGGTTAGCTTCTGCAGCGCTTCGCTTGCCCTGGCTGCTGCGCTGCATCCCCAGACCACCCTTCCGCAAGGAGGTGGGAAGACTGACGTTCCGTGTTGTCGGTGCAAGCGAAGTTTTCCGCTTTGTTGCGTCGAAGGTTTGGATTTTCTTTTTGCAGGTTTCGTGGCATGGGAGGTGTTTGAGGCTTGGGGAGTTTGGGATGCAGTCTTCCAAGTGTGTCCGGAGCCGAAGCCACCATCGCAGTTCGGGTGTCTACATGGGGAACAAGGGAGCTTGAAAGGAGCAGGACGTTCCACTGGACTACCGCAGCCTAGCCGGGTGCCTTGGCTACGACATGTTCTTTTCCACTTCGCTTGTGATGCAGGCCCGAGTGAACCGTGGTTCCTGTGATTGGACTGACGACAGGTAGGTAGTAGGAGTAGGAGGAGTATATAGTAGTAGTCGTTTTCCTAGAAAGTAGCACTAGCAGTAGCAGGAGCAGGGGCAGTAGCAGTCGCGGTAGCAATAGCAGCTGCAGTATCAGAAGCAGAAGCCGTAGCGGTCGCGGTAGCCGTAGCGGTATATGGAGCGGTATAGCAGTAGCAGCAGTAGTTGCAATAGCAGCAGCAGCAGCAGCAGCAGTGGCAGTGGCAGTGGGTGGCGGTGGCAGTGGCATGGGCAGCAGCAGCAGCAGCAGCAGCAGCAGCAGCAGCAGCAGCAGCAGCAGCAGCAGCAGCAGCAGTATCCCTAGCCGGGTGGCTCTTCACGGCTGCCTGTGTGCGGTTGACATTTTTCGAAGGGTGAAGGCGCAGTTCCTGTCGGAAAAACCTGAGATGGTGCGCCCACCCGCAGCGGCTCCCTGGACAACGGGCTGTGGAAGATGTCAATCACCTCGCCACCCCGGCGGCTTGGGCTTCAAGTGCAAGCTGCTGCAAGGCTGATGTTGGGTGGGTTTCGACTACGATTTTCTCGCCGAAATTGAGTAACCATTGCATTCCAGCAGCACCAAGCAGCTGCGCGGAGCAAGAGGCAAAAAGCAAGCATTTTCAAAACTATGCATTCCAATCTGTTCCATACTGCCGAAGTGCACGAGAGCTAAAGACGCAATCGGAAGGAGTTGCTTGTGCCTAGCACTGGCCTTTACAACAATCATTGGCCAGAGCTGCGATGCGATTTTGCGCTTTGTCTTGGACACCTTTGCAGGCAACTGCGGTTGCGTGATGCGATGTGACGTGACACATGCCTCATTCTTGGAAGCCCACACAGCATCCAAACAGCCGGCTAGGAAAAGCAACGGTCCGTCTGATAGCTTAAGCGGCACTCGTGTTAGAACCATGAGCAGCCTACCTGCTTTGCATCAGCTCGATGTCCAAGTCCTTTGTAGCTCGCAGGTGGGCAAAGCAGTGGAGCCACCACCTCCAGTGGCTGATCGGCCATGCGACTGCTTCTTCGTGCACGACTCTTGCTTGACCATGCAACTTTGCCTGTGAGAGCTGTTATAAGCACTGGGCATTCGAGGATGACAACAGCATTGCTCATTTGGTGTAAGCTCTCCAATTTGAGAGCTGGTGTGGACGTCAGTTTGCTTACAGCGTCCGCAACAACGAGCCTCTCTGCGTCACCCGTTCGGGATAAAGCATTGTCAGTGCCCAATCTGCCACAGGCAGGAGTCCATGCCGTTTCTTGGCGAGTTGGCACCAAGATGGACTGCACCCGTCCAGGACGGCCTGGAGGACTTCGGCATCGCAGTCCCCTCTCATTTTCTCACAACGCAGCAGCAATCTGCAGCTTCCATGAGCTTTCGAAGTCACGGCCCAGCGAAGGATCAGATCTCAGAGCTGAGGGCGAAGGCCACATCCTCGAATTTTACAGTGTCATTTCGCCTTGTTTGTTGCCATATGCGGAGGTCAACGAACAGGTGGACCTGCGTGTGGCCGCTGGCGCTGCGCCGTTCAACCGCCTTTGTCGAGTGTATGCGCCACGGTACCGCCAGGTCCGGTCCTACCTGGCACAAATGGAGTCTTGAGTCCTTTTAATTCACAGCTCTTACTTTGATCCTCTGCTGCAAACAAACCCTTCCAAGCTCGCGCAGCCTCTGGACAATTGCTGGACTTCTTACTGTTCCCATCTGTTCCCACTGCGGACAAGCCTTTCCCGAAGGTGAACGTGGTGGCCCTGGCGCTGTACATGCCCCCCTCCCCTGCCCAGCGCTGGGAGGACGGCACACGAAGTTGGCATCACAGCCTTACCAGAAATCCCAAACTTCCACAAGCAGGACCTTAGCGGGGCCATGGAGCTTGCCTACAAGGACCTGAACCATCGTCCTAGCCTTCCAGTTCCCGATAGAAGACGGTATAGCCAGATTAGATTTCATGTCAGAATTGTAGCTCAGGATCGGTGCTGTCTCTGCGAGTGCCAGTGCCCTGAGGATGTAGCCACTTCCTTCGTGCAGTTTGTGGAAGATCCTGGTAATGCTGGGAGGCACTTCGGGGCGAGAGACTAGTTCTGCTGCTGGAGAAGGTAAGTGCTTGGTCTGACGTTCAGCGAACGATTTTCCAGCGTCATACCTTCTCAATGCTGTGTGGATTTGGCCGTGGGGAACCCGAAGCCTTGGTTGCCTTACAGTGTTCCTGCCTTTCGAGGCCCTTCTTCCTGGCCGGGCACAGCCAGGGAACCATGCACCTTATGCGGCTGGTCCAGGAGGAGGAGGGATTTGCGCGAACCCACAGCAGAACCACAGTAGCACTAGCAAGCAGCAAGCTCTTCCGCCATGGCGCAAGCTGGCTAGTGCTACGAAGAAGGGGATGTGCAGTCATGCCCCTCAGCCGCCAGGTGGAGCCCTACCCTGACCGAAGGGATCGCTTCGTGCATGGATACCTCGCTGGTCAGACGGTTCCACTTCGCATGTTCCAGACTCTCCGCCATGTGCGGCCGAGCATCCGGGCGACGGACATTTGCTCAGTGTCGAGCTGGAGGACCGGTGCCCCACAGCACAGGGTTCTCGTGCACTGCGGGATGATCTTTCACTTGAACGGGGGCTGGTTGCCGCTTTCAGGCAAGATCTTGGCCACGAATCCGGTGACGTGGGAGGCGGGAGCTGCCAACCGAGCATCCCACCCGCAAGAGTACATGGGGGCCGCCTTTCCTTTGCCGGAGAACCTGGATCCAAGGGAGAGCCAAGGGCTCGCGTCGGGTGTGGTGCTACGCTTCGGGAGCCTCGTGGCATCAAAGAAGGCGATCCTCGGTGCCCGCCTGAAAGCGCTCAGCCCGGTCGATTGCGGAGAAGTGACGGTGGTGGTTGACGAGCATTCGGTGACTCGCGTGCCCAAATTGCCCAGCACCTCACTCTTTGCTACAGCGGAGCACGACTGGTTGATGTACCACGACGTGGACATAGCACTGTTCCATGGCAACCTCCAGGCCAATGCTGAACAACGGCATCAGGCTTGGCAAACGCGTGGGCGCAGCCGGATGTGAAAGCACAACCGGTGTGGGTGGCTGCATTGGCCCATAAGGCATGCTGTGAGCAGATTCGAAAAGGAAGAATCGTCAAGCGGCGGCCACCTCCCTGTAATGCTTTCTTTGCTTACATGCTCATGTGCTCTAAAAGTACTAGCCTCTCGACCTGTTACAAGACGGAATCTGTAGCACCCTGTCGAGTGGTCCTGCCGCAACTGCCCTGTCCCGATCGGCCATGTTATCGTGCGGAAGTGTTCGGTAGTTAACTTAGCCGAGAGACCGCTTGAGAAAGCCGTGCAAGCCCCGCAGCCCAGGTGTGGATTGGCGGTTCGGCAATTTTCGCTGCCATGGTAATCTTCCTCCCGACACATGTCAGGAATTGGGCCTTTTTTGACCACATACTAGTAGCAGCTTCAGCGTAACGCAGAGATCTCGAAGGAATGTGCGAGAAGATTTCGTAGTTACCGTGGCCACCCGATGCTTTGATACTTTTCAAGGATCGGACCCTTGGACAAGTTCATCCACGCGCGAGTCGACACTTTCTTGCTGTGCTACGATGCCGGCAAGGGATCGGACGCTTGGCAGTTGATTGGGGCAGGACCACCGCCTCAAATCAGGCTTTGTGATGTCATTAAGCTTTGGTCACGCTGCGCATGTAAGATTGCAGTGTTTCAGGCCAGGTGTGCTGGACATGGGTAATGCTTCGAACAAAATCTCCCTGTGTGAGTCTGATGCTCACGGAAGGCTCGTGCCAATGCCAAGCACCGTTGCTTTGTAAGTCATACATAACTGTATATTAACCTGTGTGTTTGTGTATGATGCAGATGCGCACACATACCCACACGTACGTATGTATATACCTATGTATATGTATATGTATATATATATATATATATATTCGATCATTTACACCTACCAACCTACTGCTTGCCCACTCTACACTCTAGTCTACATCAGACAGAGATAATGCTTAGAGTACATACTTGCGTATTATATATTCTACCACATATTGCACCTGATACTGTGTTACAATGATGCATGCTACATTTATACTACAATATGGTACTCTATTCATGTACATACATATACATATACCCGTACATATACTCATCTACTTATGCATATACATATACACATACATATACAGATACAGATACATATACACGCGTACATACATACATGCGTACACACACATACACATACATACACATGTATGTGCGTAGATGTTTGTATTAATTATAATATGATTATATATATATATATATATGTGCTATGTGTATTCATGTTGGTTGCCGATTCCCAGTTCATGCGGGATCTGAGCCTGTGTTCAGAAATAAATGTACACACAGTTTTGTATATACCCCCAACGCACTAGCTGCACCCAAGACGATGTCTCAGGACTTGGTGTTCTGGCAGAACGTGCTGCAGGCCCCAGACGAGTTTTCAGATAGGACTGGGACACTGTCGCAGGGCCCACAGGGCCCAGTGCCGTGTTACCAGCTGCTGTGCACTCTTGAAACTCCTCCCTGCTGAAAATGAGCCAAAAAACTCTGAATGCAACAGGGTGCCGCGCTCGAATGGAACCTTCCGGTCACAGGTCTTGGTGAATTTCCCTTTGTTGGCCGCCAACTGGCTGGCCGTGGAGGCTTCTGGCTGCAAGGCTGCACAAGATCAGGCTGAGCTCGAGGCCGAAAGTTAAAGGGGTTGCGATGCTTCCGACAGGTTGTGGGTCCTAGGTTCAAAAGAAGTGAGGGTTTTTGAGTTGCTCGGTCTTGTGTCGAGTTGGTCTGCAAGATGGAACATCAGGGCTGGTGGTAGCTCAGCTGGTTGTGGATCCGGACTTGTGGGTCTCAGGATGTCATGTTTCTCGGATCCTTCAGGCATGCTCGATGTTCTGGCAGTTGTTCCAATCAGCTCTGCTGCAGATTCCAACCCCCCGCGAGCCCTCGAATCCCAAGCCCTCCCCATCAAAATTGTGTTTTGCTTGTAAGGTGAAAGGCTCCACACATGCACCCGGAACCAAAGTCGGCCCACAGCCACTGTTTTTAAATCTCGTCTCTTACACCGGGTGTATTTGTGCTATTTGGTTCCTGTCACCACGACTGTTTCGACCCCATTCTACGATTCTACGCCCTGTGCTTGCAGATTCGGTGCAGTCCCTTGAGACAGGCCGCCAGCTCCGTGATCCTTGTCGGGCTTGTCTTGCTGGGCCTCATGTGTGCTTACTTCCTGCTCATCGATGCCCGGCTTCACTTAGCACAACTTTATCTGCAATTCACGGCACACAGTTTCAGGAGGCGAGAGCAGCTGAGGAGCCCTGCAAATCCAGGGATCGCCTACAGCAGCTAGTGGACGATGCTTTGGGGCCTTTAACTGCGAAGGCGGCAGACTGAGGCTTCAGGGACCACCCTTCTTTCGAAGCTGTACTACGACGACCCTTGCCAGTATCTGGCGAGGGACCCTTCGCGCAACTTTGCCTCGCTCTCCAGGCCTGCCTTCAGGTTCCCATTCCCCGAGCGGACCGAGCTCTTCGAAGCGAGAAACTCCCAGCCGAACGCCAACCTTTCATGTGGAAACCACTGTATGCAAGTGTGTTGCAGCATGGCCGTGGATGACGCAGGCCCTCCGATGACGCCCACGAAATCGGAGCAAACATCTGCTTGGGCCGGGCATAGATCAAAGTCCTGCTTTGCCTGCAGAGATCTGAAGCTTCGCCGGTGGTGTCAGCATGTCTGTGTCGGCAGCTACATCAAAGCCAATGCCCTGGATCCGCATGCGTCTTGAAAGAAGACGTGTGCCCGAGAATGGTTACATCAATTACAGCTTAGATGTTGATGTCCTTGGCTTGCGCTGCCAGATTTCAGGCAGCTTTCCCATGCAAGAAGGGAGTGGCACCCGACCATCATAATGTCCAAATTGCGTGAGGCAGCACGACTGCTCGTTGCATGCATGGGTTCCAGACGATGCCTGTCTTGGAAGCTTAAGCCTGCGGGAGTGTCCATGACGTCAGCTCTCGGCCCCAGCGATCATCTCGACATCGTGGCCGTCGTTCCCGGCTCCTCATTTAGGGGTCTTGGGTGGCCAGATGAGGGTTCAGAGATCAAAGTGTTCAGGCCGTGACTGCACTGTGACCATCGATCCAAGTTCAATTGTGGAGTTCAGGGCATGGGGTGAGGACTTAGTGACTCAAACGTTCGCCTCAATGAATCTCCTAGTCTCGCCGCATGCGCGATGGCAGAGTCGCCTGAGCTTGGGCCGCCAACTCTCGGGCAAGTTGTTGACTTGCCTGACCATGAACAAGAAGTTCCGCTTGACCATGACGCAAGAATTCACATCCACGAGCTGTGTGATGACCAGGACTTGCCAGATCCTGTGAAATCACCCAGTTCACCACAAGCGAGCGCGCCCGGCGACGACTGGATCGTGGACATGGTAGCCAGCATGGAGCCCACCAGGCCAGAAATCATTCGAGGTGTCCCTGTGCACTGCGCTTTGCGGGGCTGTGGGCAGGCGATGCGTGGCAAGCAGCGGGGACTGTACAAGTTCAGCTGTGCCACAACAGAGATCGCCGAGTTTTGGTCCCACAGCTGGCACACATCCGCCTGGATGAAGTTTGTCACTGCATGGTATTTGAACAGTGGGGTTGTCGCGGCTGCTTTCGGCATGGTGGGTGCCGTCCTGGGCTGCGTCCTACATGCCGTTGGGGTTTTGCCTGCCACCGTTGACAGTGGTTTCTGCAAGTCGCAGTGGAGCGTATTGATTGGGGTGACCTTCTACTGTTTGTCCTTCATGTTTTGGCGGGTGAGGAAGTTTGGGTTGTGGAATTTTTTGTATAAACCAAGAGGACGAAAGCTTGAAGGGCGAGGCCATGATCAGCATGGGTGCAATCTTGAAGAGCTCCGCATCAATGCTTGTGCTGTGGGATCCGAGTTGGGTGCAGAGACTTGGCTTTTTATGGGTTGGGCGATGGGACGTTAACGGCTTTGCGTTTTGGAATTTGCTTGTGGTAATGAGCCTCCAGATTTGACTTGTATCAAGGGTCGAAAGCCAGCGAAGGAGATTCTGGTGCGTGTTCGAGCTAGCATCGTTTCTTCGCAGCCGACCGAAAGAAGCTACGATAAGCCAGCATCTGAGTATTCGACCAAACCTGATGGGACCGGTTTTGCTGATCGGAAAGGCCGGCCTGATCGTTTTACTTGTTGCATGGCCGAACTTGGTGCAAGCGTTTCGGGATAGCGGTGTGATCTTGCTGGGTGCGATCATGGGATTGACGATGGCGGCAGGCCTCTTGCCATGTTTCCTCTGTCTTGTCTACATTGGCCGTCGCTTCTGTTGCAGCCTGGACACCCTGCAGCAGCAACTCGGCAAGTTCCAAGTCGACGATGCAAAGTGCTATTGTTGCACCGTGAACCACCTGGACGATGAGACCGGCGAGCCCATTCCTTGCGACCGTGACATCATGCTGAAATGCATCGGAATCTGGTTTAGAACCACAACTGACTTCGAGCAATTGGTGCGGGGACATGTCAGGACAACACTGCTGCGGGAGCTCACCAGCCCTCTTTACCTGTACCGGCAAATCGTCATGGCCTCTAGTCCGGTGATGTGGCTGTTCTTGGATCGAGTGGCTACCCTCCTCGTTGCCGATGACATCAGCACTGGATTGTGCATTGTCTTTGATGCGTTGGCATGGTGGCTAATGGCGATACCGAGCATCGTTTTGCTCGGCGCGGCTGTGGCCTACAAACTCCGCATGAGGAAAGCGCATTGGGTGGCGGATTTTCTGCTCAGCCTTGCGGTTTTATTACCAGCAGCGGGGATGCTGGTTGCATTCGTTGCTATCTACATGACTTTCGACCTGGTTTCCATTTACTCCCTCCCTTTCCCGCTTGGCAGGATCGTGGCCTCGGCCGCCTTTTTCATCGTGTCGGCATTGTTGGCCGTGTCCGCACTCTACCTGTTCTGGAAGGCGAAGAATCGTGCCATCTGCACGTAAGCCTTTTCTTGACCACGAACGAACAGGGATGAGTGGGAAGGCATCGCTGAATGTCTAGAGTCCAGAGTTTCGGGCAGAGATCCGTCTTGAGGCTGCTCGACAGCGAAGGCTGTGTGCTGCAGGTTGCTGAGTTTTGAGAACAGCCCGGGCCTGGAAGGTATGCGCTGGCACAAGCACACCGGCGAAGCCGGACTGCATGAGCAGCTTTGCAAACGGTATGCCGAAAAAAGTCAGAGTTGGTCTTCGCCGTAAGACTATGTGGGACTATAACGCCGGGAGCATTTCGTAGCCGCCTGGTTCAGCATGAAAAACTGGCCTGTCGGTGCAGTCTCGAAAACTGCTGTAGTGCTTGCATTGATGTCATGTTCTTTCTTGATGGCAGTTCTTGACGGCTTCAGCTTTAACTGGTCATGAATGCAGCTGCAGGAATGACAGCGGCAAGACCGGAACCCTCTTGAACCGAAAACCAGCTATCGTGTGCGTGACAGCTTGGATTTTGCCGTCGACACAGCGGTCGCCATCTTGTGAACCCTCGGATCATCAAATCAGCGGGTTTCGCCAAGCCGCCTTGTCACAAGATTGAGTTTGGTCCGAAGCATAAGGCAATGCGATGATTCAGGAGGGTCGCGTCGCTCGGTGGAGCGAGCAGGCGTTTGCAGATCTCGCCTTACTCTTCGGGAAGCTTAAGAAAGCCGAGGGGAGTATCCATGACGTCAGCTCTCGGCCCCAGCGATCATCTCGACATCGTGGCCTTCGTTCCCGGCTCCTCATTTAGGGGTCTTGGGTGGCCAGATGAGGGTTCAGAGATCAAAGTGTTCAGGCCGTGACTGCACTGTGACCATCGATCCAAGTTCAATTGTGGAGTTCAGGGCATGGGGTGAGGACTTAGTGACTCAAACGTTCGCCTCAATGAATCTCCTAGTCTCGCCGCATGCGCGATGGCAGAGTCGCCTGAGCTTGGGCCGCAAACTCTCGGGCAAGTTGTTGACTTGCCTGACTATCAGCAAGAAGTTCCGCTTGACCATGACGCAAGAATTCACATCCACGAGCTGTGTGATGACCAGGACTTGCCAGATCCTGTGAAATCACCCAGTTCACCACAAGCGAGCGCGCCCGGCGACGACTGGATCGTGGACATGGTAGCCAGCATGGAACCCACCAGGCCAGAAATCATTCGAGGTGTCCCTGTGCACTGCGCTTTGCGGGGCTGTGGGCAGGCGATGCGTGGCAAGCAGCGGGGACTGTACAAGTTCAGCTGTGCCACAACAGAGATCGACGAGTTTTGGTCCCACAGCTGGCACACATCCGCCTGGATGAAGTTTGTCACTGCATGGTATTTGAACAGTGGGGTTGTCGCGGCTGCTTTCGGCATGGTGGGTGCCGTCCTGGGCTGCGTCCTACATGCCGTTGGGGTTTTGCCTGCCACCGTTGACAATGGTTTCTGCAAGTCGCAGTGGAGCGTATTGATTGGGGTGACCTACTACTGTTTGTCCTTCATGTTTTGGCGGGTGAGGAAGCTTGTGTTCCTGGACTTTCTCTGCATAAACCAAGAGGACGAAAGCTTGAAGGGCGAGGCCATGATCAGCATGGGTGCAATCTTGAAGAGCTCCGCATCAATGCTTGTCCTGTGGGATCCGAGTTGGGTGCAGAGACTTGGCTTTTTATGGGTTGGGCGATGGGACGTTATCGGCTTTGCGTTTCATAATTTGCTTGTGGTAATGAGCCTCCAAGTTTGACTTGTATCAACGGTCGAAAGACAGCGAAGGAGATTTTGGTGCGTGTTCGAGCTAGCATCGTTTCTTCGCAGCCGACCGAAAGAAGCTACGATAAGCCAGCATCTGAGTATTCGACCAAACCTGATGGGACCGGTTTTGCTGATCGGAAAGGCTGGCCTGATCGTTTTACTTGTTGCATGGCCGAACTTGTTGCAAGCGTTTCGGGTTCGGGATAGCGGCGCGATCATGGGATTGACGCTAGCGGCAGGCCTCTTGCCATGTTTCCTCTGTCTTGTCTACATTGGCCGTCGCTTCTGTTGCAGCCTGGACACCCTGCAGCAGCAGCTCGGCAAGTTCCAAGTCGACGATGCAAAGTGCTATTGTTGCACCGTGAACCACCTGGACGATGAGACCGGCGAGCCCATTCCTTGCGACCGTGACATCATGCTGACATGCATTGGAATCTGGTTTAGAACCACAACTGACTTCGAGCAATCGGTGCGGGGACATGTCAGGACAACACTGCTGCGAGAGCTCACCAGCCCTCTTTACCTGTACCGGCAAATCGTCATGGCCTCTAGTCCGGTGATGTGGCTGTTCTTGGATCGAGTGGCTACCCTCCTCGTTGCCGATGACATCAGCACTGGATTGTGCATTGTCTTTGATGCGTTGGCATGGTGGC